CACTGTAAGTGCCTTCGGAAACAGAAAACACGAATGTTCCGAATGGAGAAGCCAATGGATCTCGGCTTTTTGTGAGAAAGGTGAATGTGAGGGATGGTTGCACCCCATGATTATTCAACTCGACAACGGCTGCAAGATTCGGGCTTTTTTCCAGGTCAAGTCAAATCTATCCTTTTGGAACATGAAATGGAGACTATTATGCCACGTACTTTTATGTAACGGAGCAAAACTACACTTTCAGACCAGATGTTTTATGACGGAGAAGTTGTAACACCAAGATAAGGAAGAGAGCAGTTCCGATTATCAGCAATTCTCGACAACTGGACACAAATACAGGGATATATGCAGGTGTTATTGGTAATCATGGCGATACTGTCAAACGGGCTTACGGTGTTATCAGGGTGCAACCATGAGTGGTTTGTTCTTATTGAAGAAGCTGGATTGGGATCAAAGAACTTTGCCATGCCACAACGAATGAGAGACATCTTGCAAGATTTAAGGATATATTGGGCTTTCTGTCTAGGAGAAATCAATACGATAAATGTTCCAGCGAGAAGAGGGTTCTTGTTATAAGTATAAACGGTAGGGATATAGGGTAAATTAATCTATATAAAACTTTTTATTACTACAACTACCTTTCTAGATTCGCATTGCACTCGTACGTCATTCATGTCAGTCATTGAAAAAAGTCAAGCGTCCAATCAATCACAGGACCCCGAAAATTAGGAGCCAACTTTTAAATGTGAAGAACGCAAGGCGACTTTCATGTGCATGTACATGCGTTACTGTATCCCGTCAATACATACTAGTCGAATACGTAGACTTCTACAAGGGAGAGACTCTAAGTAATGCGCGCCGGGTATAATTCAAACCTCTGCCCCCATCGGTACCATTACCCCTAAAGCAAATCGTCTCCAGGAGACGAAATAAATGAAAGGAAAGATTGTTTTTGAACCGTCAGTGAGCTTCCCAAAGATTTGACCAAAAGATCCCACGGCCACAAAAAATCGTCCCCACAACCCCACGACCATTGAGCCAACATCTTTGCCTCAACAAGCCCCAAACCTCCAGGAACTCTGTCGGTACATAGGTTCCTTCGGAGGGAAGTCGAAGGTGTCTCGGCGAAAAACATCTCGGAGTTTCACTTCAGCGCCAACGGCCCTCGGTGGCATCAAATAAGCGCATACTGGTATTCGCCACCCCACGGACCAGTGACGGCCAAGCATGTACGGACCGGTAGTGCGTCCGGTCGATTGGGTCTCACGGTCCCTTGCTGGCTACGGTACTATTGACGTCTATGAGTACTATTTGAATGATTGGATTCGCGAATCGACCAGACCAAGCATCCTTACAAATCGTTGCTCTAGCTAGAGTTGAATTTGGCAAAGCTCCGGTGGACGCAACGATTGTCGTCTTCTTCGTTTGAATGGTCGCCCTTCAAAGGCGGATCCTCATTTAGTTAGTTAGTTGGAATTGAATCCGTCACTGCCACTTTAACCACATCTTCGCCGTTTCCCTCTGGGGGCCATGCCAAACACCAAATTACATGATCATCACGGTTGGACGAGCCTGGGATTGGTCTACGGTATGGTTCGCTCAAGTTGAGTGCACGGACGCATCAAGGAGAGATCGGTCGCGTCCCATACAGTACCGGTACCAGTGTTCCGAGAATGCGGGTGGGAAGCAAGCTCAAAGCACACCAATGCATAGCTGCGCGAGAAGAAAAAATGATCCACAAAGCAAGCCTTCGCGAACAAACTCGGCAACTTGGCTTGCATGGCTTCCCTGCGCTCCTCCCCCTTCACTTTGGCAAGCCGCAAATGAGACATACCTTGAAGTCCTTTCGACTCCAGTCCGGGAAGCCATCATTCATGAGTTTCTTCCGTTCTGCTTCCGCCTCTTCTGGGAGTTTGAATTCTGATAGTTTTTGTTCCATCTCACCAGCCAGCTTGGTGAGTTCCTCTTTGCTCTGTCCAGGTGCAGCGCCCAAGGCCATCATGGGAGCATGCTTAATTGTTTCTCGCATCTGTTTGATGGCTGCCACTTGTGCTTCCTTCTTTGTGGCAAGCTCACGCTCCAATTCGTTGAATTTCTCGATGCGGGCGGAGTCAAAGAGCTGGAAGTCTTGGAAACTACTTCCCTTCTTCCGTTTCTTGGCGGCAGCATCAGCAGCATGTGCCTTGAGGCCACTGGTCGTCCCTGTATTCATCGTCTCACGAAAGTACTCGTTCACATCGTAGTTGCGCTTTCTCTGTCGTTGCGGCTGATTGATAAAGTTCCCCTTGCCCTTGTCCGCACCACGGTAGTTCTTTCCGTCAAAGGCAAACGTGTCCGTTCCGTTATCATCGTCAGCAATCAAGCTAAAGTTGGCCAAGTTGTGCTTTGCATCGGTTTGCAACTTGGCTTGCATGGCTTCCGTGCGCTCCTCTCCTCGCGAAATCAACGCGTCAATGTCCTCATCAGTGTAGGTACCTCCCTTTCCACTGAGGATTTGGTCGGCTCCAAAGCGGACCATTTTCATCAAATCATCTTTCTCTAGCGAATTGTGCTGCTCGGCAAGACGGCCTTGCTGGATGACGGCGGCATCGAGAAAGAGCTTTCGTCTGCTCTCTCAATGATCTTCTCTTCTACCGTCCCTTCGGTGACAAACCGGAACACTTGCACAGGCTTTTTCTGACCCTGTAACGCGCAGCCACAACACGAGGAAGTCAGATAATAAGCTCAACGATTGCATCTGCAAAAACTGGCAAGCCTCACTTACAATTCGGTGGGCACGGTCCATGGCTTGCAGGTCGACCTTTAGAGTGTACAAGTAAGTCAAAATATGAGAAAGGTCTCCTGAGGCGGAACAACTTTATTGAATACTTCTGGTTACCCACCTGAGGATTCCAGTCACTATCGTAGAGAATGACAATGTCGGCGGTGGCCAAGTTGATTCCGAGTCCTCCTACAACGGATATCGAGCCGCGTTGGACTGACTGAAGCGCCCTTCAGGAGAGATAGGATCACGTGCTAGTAGAGTACTTCAGGGGAAAGGCAAGACCTTCAAGAAGGCAAGACCTTTCGACGTTTCCAGGGTCTCAGTTGATCCCTATCTACGTTTGTTGCCCAGACATCAGGCTTTTGTCGGAGAAGTCCAAAAAGGAAACTCACTCTATCACGCACAAAACCTCCATCAAACTCATAAGTGAACAGGCGTGGCGCAGTGTCATCATAATGCCGATAGGGGTGATCCAGCAAACCATGATTGGAAAAGGCATTATCTGTTGGCTGGGTTAGCAGTTTCGCCAGTTCCGCTGGGGAACAATGCTGTGCCGTCTTTCTCCCAAGGGCATTCAGCTTCAGGAGGTAGTCAATTTCCCTGCGCCGCACACGCATTTCAGCTCGTCCTTCAACTGTTGTAATGGGATCCCAGATGTTTATGACAGGGTCTTTCAAGCGGCAGCTGCTGAGTATGACATTGTCTTGCAGCAAATCTATCAGCCCTGGCTCAAAGCTAGTGACGTTTCTACCCATGTCAGTACCTCGTCGAGGGCCCTCATGGCTGATGCGGGCCGTTTCTGGTAGCAACATCAAGCCCAACGATTCCAATCTGTGATCCCCTGGCCTCAAAATGTCCCATAGTCGTCCAAGATGAGATTCTCGAAAAAAAGCCAAGTTCAGGGATTTGAGTTGCTTGGATTGTTGTACTAGAGCCAGAATATGCTCGGCCCCATCATTTGTGGCCTCATGAAACTGTCTGGTTGACAACTCCAAAAATTCCAAACTCTGCATTTGTGACACCATCCTCACTATTGCCTGCAGACCATCACAAGAGGTATCCACTTTACTGATGATAAGTCTATTCAGAGTTGTTGCATGTGGTGTGTCCACAGTGGGTGTCACTGAGAACTGCAAGTCACCTTCAAAATGGCAGCGCAGCAATGCCAGTTCCATGGGACCATTTGGAGAGAGGAACAATGATGCTAGAGCCTCCGAAACACCCACAAGATGAAACTGAGACAGCTCCACATAAGGAATAGGTGTGCTCCTTTCCCTGATTGCCACCACCAAATCACCAAAAATGAGGCTATCGTTGGCTTGCTGCAGCTGACTTGAAGAACTTTTCAACATGAGCCGCGTCATCTTGGGCATGTTTGCAACCTTTAGAAGAGAGCAGACTAGCTGGCGCGTCTCGCTGGAATCATTCAACCCTGATGGCAAGAACAGATCCAGAGACTCTAGGTTTGTCCCATATGTGGCAATTGTGTTGATCAAATTAGGAAATAGTTCGCCATACCTGACCCAACTACCAAATGCCAAATGTGCTGAAGAAGGCAATTTTAACCGAAGTGCCTTCAAGTACCCCTCGCTGATAATTGGTTCATGCATGTGAAAATGGTGCAGTCCATGTAATGTTTTTTCTGCAAATGTTTGGATGATCGCATCCGAAAAGCCCTCGAGCAAACAAATCTGATGTAGGTGACTGAAACGGCAGCATTTGGGTATAGAGTCCAGCAGCTTTTGAAGCAATATTTCCAGATTGGGCAGTTCCTCTTGGTTGAGGTGGGTAACATTGCACAGGAGATTGCGGATGATACGGCCAGCAACATAGACTTCCAGAGAGGCCACCAAATCTGGGTATTTCTCGATCAGAAACAAGAGGACACTGGGTCTTGACCTTTCTTTGGAAAGCATTTCCAATCCCGGTTGGATTTTCCTCGTCCTCGGCCTCGTGACACTAGTAGGATGCTCGTGGTAGGCAGATTCAATGGCATCAGGAGCCAAATCGTAGACAGTTACAACAGTTTGCAAGTTGGCTCCTTTTGCCACCAGTTCATAAAGAGGGATGACATCGAAGCCATGAAGACTATAATTCCTTTTGTATGCCAACTCTGGGTGCTCTTCAATTGTCTTGGCCAGTTTGACGCAATCCAGACTGCTGCTACCGCTGATCTCATTGACGCTGCCCAAGTGCTCTTGTTGTTCACTCATGATCTGTTCGATCTTTTCCTCGATGTCGTTCTGACAGCATAAATAAATAATAAAGAAACGAGAGGGGATGTTTGTCCAAGATGGTCAATGCCAACAAAACTCAGTTCTCCTACTCCCAAATAAGATGATGTTCTTCATTCAACTCCAATCTCGATTGAACTTTTCTATTGTCCGGTACGCTATCGGGAGTCTCTGTCGATCGCCACCCTTTTGCGAGAGGAGCCAAAACCAGCTGGTGGTTGGCAATCACGAGGTGAACCTCCCGGGACTCGCTAGAACGAGGTAGACG